ACGGCCATGCGAATGCAGGTGGATGTAGCGAACTACGCGACAACTATTTTGAATGCACCCCGAACCACTGGTTGAATGATGTTGAACTCATCTCCCTTGCAGGATTGAAGGCTCATGGGGCCCAAAAAACGCATGGAACGACCAAACAAAAAGCGCAGCTTCATCTTAGCCACAACCCAGTCCATGCAAATCAAATAGGTGACAAAATGGATATCATAGATGGATCCAAGCACCTTCTCAGATTGTTGAACCCTCCAAACTTGAGGGTCCCCGCTGAAACTTCTCCAAACACCTTCTCAAAGGGTGGCAATGGATCCCTATGAGGATTGATATCGCGCTTGATTGTCGCCATGTGCGGAGCAGTTTTCAGTTCCATAGTTCCATTGAGTCCCCCAAAAAGACGGTCCGACACCGGTGTCGGAGCTTCCACGTGCGAACAGGGCGTGGTACATAGTAGGTCTTGGGAACCGATGGGGAGAGTCAACAGGTCTTGGTCAAACTTGTTCCTAGTAGCTTCTTGTTACTACTAGTAAGGCACTTGTTACTAGTAGCGATGCACTTGTTCCTAGTAGCTTCCTAATTTGCTCATCCCAAGCCGATGCTTCCCTTCATTGGGCCAGCACCGGTCCCTTCTGCATTGATCGATCCGACGTGACGTGACGCCAGCGGAGGCCTTTCACTCAACTCGACGTACTGAGGATTCTTCTCCAGAAAGCTGTCGAGCCAATCGAAGGTACCTCATGTGGGGCAGGCGCATCTGGTTCTCAGGTCTGCCTCTGCCAGCATTACTGCGTTACAATCAAGAAAACTGAGGGTCCATGCTAGTCTCAGCGGGTGAACAAAATTCCAACCTTTGAATGGGTGATAGCTCCTGTAACACTAGACAGGAAAAGAGTTGTGACCACACATGTGGGAACATGACCTACAACATCCTACAACCCCTTTTCCCCTAGGAATAATTTTATTCCCAACTAAACTATACATACAATATTCAGCTGCTTGATGAATCTCACAATTGTAGCGGTCTACAACTCATTAAAAGTGGCCGTCCATTCTCGGTTGAAACAGGGACACCCCAGTCCTCTGTCTTCGACCAAAGGTAAATGACGAGAATGCTGAACATGATTCGTCATACGAGGTAGGGTTTTAGTGTTTACAGTAATGTTATGCGACTATTGCATTGTCAAACAATTAAGTCCTCTAACATTTCCCAATGTTAGGGAACCTTGCCATCGTGTTGTTTTGGTCGTAAAGTGCCAGGGATTGGATTATTCCCGGCATATATTCAATGTTCTTGCGCACTTGTCATTCTAAAAAGTTTTGAAGGCACATGAAGGCACCTGATGGAACAAATGTTGCTCTAACATAGCAAAGTCACAAAAACACGTTTTTCTCCAGACCTTCAGCACCTGAGGGTGGCACCTTCATCTGGGAAAGCCACGGGCATCAGGAGCTCACACTGGTGCGTGCCGCGTCGTGAAACATGGTTCTTCGTCGGACCAGGTTCCTCGAGATAAAAACTGATTGGCCACTTCCATCTTTGTTTCAGGAAAGGTACACAAAACGGTACCCCAAAAATGATCCAAACATGCTACCAATCATCCTCGACCACTTTGGACACAGGTACCTTCCCGGACGACACCGCGGTAACCTTCGGGACCTGACAACAGCAGTTATTGGCAAATTGGGTGCATCCCATTCCTTGGGCCCAGTGACCAGTGGATGATGGTTAGGTTAGTAAAGGCCGACACCTCAAAACATTGATCATCTTGTATCGACAGTTACAGGTCATGGGACACACTGGAGGGTGACTTAAGATCCGAATGAATCGAAGATGAGGGAACCTCCTGCGCCCTGGGTTTTGACGAAAAAATCGCTCGCCTCCACTCTGACCACCCGGCTTCGATCTAGTTAACACTACATCAATGTCAATATATTATATATATTATATATGTCTTTGTTGACTATCAAAAAATGAAAAAAACCTTCCTTCACTAAAACAGTTTTAGGATGTTTCAGGGCATTTCATGGTCACATTCCTCTCGATGTGCAACTGCAAGAGATCAGTCGGATGCTCCCAACGGGCTTCTTCTCTACATCACAAGGTGTGTTTGCACATGTATTGACTCCATGGAACAGATGAAGCAAGGGTACATTCATCATCCATCTGCCCTTGGCACCACTCGGAGGGCTCAAAAGCGTTCAATGATGTTCGTCCCGGTGTGATAAGGTACCAGTAGTTGGGTGAGTTTGGAGGCTTCAACCTGCACCATCTGGTTGGGGTGTCCAATAGACTACCCTGCACTGCTTAGGGATCTCGATTGGGGCACCAATTGGATGGTCCTAGAATAGATTGATGTGTTATTGCCCACCTGTCAGGTGAGGGTTATTAGATGTTCAGTGTGGTGCCGCAACTCCTCCTTCAAAGGTGCTTCAATCGTGTGAATGAAGTCCCCATGTCCCTCTGGCCCGCCTTGCCATCCTTACCCATCGGCGAGGGCGTCACCACTGCGTTCACTGACCTAACGGAGGAAAAGTAGGAGTAAGGGTAAGAGTAAGAGAAGAAAATGTTTGTCGATTTGTCTTCAGAGATTCACAGTGCATTCTTTTTTCCATGTAAAAAAGAATGCACTGTGAATCTCTGAAGGCAAATCATATTGGTATGCATTAGGATATACAACTGGATATACAATATTAGGTCCAGGTCCTTTCAGCCTTTTCAAGACCAACCGACGAAGATGTCCGGTCCGCGTTTTGTGTTCAGACTGGAGATCTTCCTTGGAGACCAGACCGGACCCGAGCGGACCCGTGTTCGGACCCGTGCTCTACGTCTGCGATGGATCCTCCGAGGAATGGCTTCTTGGCATGGTTTTTGGGCTGGACCATACTGAACCTTTGAGAAAAACAACTAAAACAACACTCAATTACAACTATTATATAGAATAGAACCACTGTTTCTGTGGCAGATTAAGTGCATGCTCTAGCTAGAGGACCCACTGGAAGTTAGTTTTTGTGCCTTAGATCCACTGTCACCTTGTGTTCTGTGGGTTCGGTACTTAATGTTGACTGAAGGCTCAGCCCCAAGTCACACAAATGATTGGATCTGTAGACACATCACATCTTGCGAAGCTAGTTTCCATCAGCTCTCACTCCTTCAGCAATTTACCAATCAAATTCCCCACGTCATCTCCAAGCCTAGGTCATCGATTGTCACTCTGGTAACACCTCAGACTACCCGAGTCCATCTATATAAGTGCGTCCCCTCTGGTCCCCTTCGCTCAGCTCCCGGACGCAGCGTCTGCCACCATGCGGCAAACGAAGGGCATCTTCGTGAACTGCGGGCGAGTCAAAGCTGGAAAGCGAACAAGTACGATGCCCTTTGTTCCTAGTAGCCTTCTTGTGCCTAGTAGTAAGGCCAGGAGCTCCTAGTAGCGTCCTTGCTCCTAGAAGCGATGCCAGGAGCCCTAGTAGCTTCTTGTTCCTAGTAGTGTGAAGTGCGTGACTGCAGGGTTTGTGCTTAGCTTCGAGAAGGAGTATGTCCTAAGTGACACCCTATAGGTGACACCCGATGCAGCCCTGTAATCCTCTGAAATGCACCCTTCGCGCGTGGTCGAACATTCCTGAAAAAAGCTGCACCGAACATGACACTGAGTCGGCGACCGGTGTCTTGCCAAAGTTCACGATGAGGCTCGCGTGTCGGTAGCTCACATGGGGAAACCTTGGGGATCCACTCGAAAGAGTTTCAAGTTCACTCTCACTCTTGTGGTGGGAACCACACTCCGTGTACGTTGAACATGTTGAAAGGAATTGTGAGCAGCGGGTCACCTGCCTTGTGGATCCTTGTGGTGGGAAAAGGCCGCGTGTTGAGTAGTTTCTGGTCCAGAAAAAACAGATTCGATTCCAGTGGCTGATGTGGGGTGTGAATGGTGTCACACTGTAGCAAACAAAAACCATCCGCAGCCACTGGGAAGTTCGCTTGCGGTAGCTTTTTGGCGCGGAGTGACAGCAGCAACACATCAAAAGCCTCGAACCGCATCGAACCGCCTATAAGTTGCATGGGTCCCAAAAGAATCTGCCCTCTTGACCGTTCTGAGTTTCCCTGCAAAGGTTGCCCGATGAGGCTCTCCTCAGTCATGGGGCGGTAGATCCCAAATCACTGAAAATCAAAAAAGAATATCCCCCAAGCCACCCTGCGAATCCTACCAGGGAATCCAAATGTGCATTTTTTTCGTTCAAACACGTTCGCACACAAAATCCGTGCATCCGGCCTTTTTTGTCAAATGGACACATTTTCTGGAGTTCCTCCGAATATTGGGTTTGATTGGGTTTTATCAATATAATTGTTTGGGTTTTTGTTGATAAAAAGTTGATAAATTTTGGGTTTCATATGGGTACGCTTTTGTACGGTATTGTTTTTCTGTCCATACGGCTAAATACGCTAATTCGTTAATTAAAATGTCCATACGATAAATTCTGTCCAAATACGGCCTTCGCACAAAAAAAAGTGTTCATACGCCTTTCCAGGTAAGTAGAGGCTATGTAAGAACCTGTGTCTGTTGCTCTGAAACGTTATTCTGCGGAAACAGCTCCTGCCAAAACCTGGTAGAACCATCCATTGTGCACTGGTATGATCTGGTATGAATACGGTTAGAATCCCTACTAAGCTAAACCATGGTGTTTTGGCAACTGCTCACATTGATTGCGCCTTGGAACTATACTCACGGTGCAATCTCAACACCTTCCACACCATCCGGTGAGATGATGTAAAGCACTCCTACCCATCGAGGCTTGAAGTTCTCCGGTAGGTAGGTGGTCCGAACATCAGCTTCAAACATGCGGCCGGTCAAATGACCATCCGAAACAACCAAAAGCGACACTCACCTGAGGGGAAACATCGTGAAACCCATTGAAACCCATAAAAAATGTCCATCTCTTATAATCAATTCACAGCAAAGCAAGTGGTGCTTCGCTATGCATGTGAAGCGCCTCGCGACTTGGTCTCGCTAATCGCGCCCTCGCCACTTTTGTCTTCTCAGCGCTTCTTCCAGGCTCGCTGGTCGATAGCGCTGTAGTGGAGTGGCAAGAATGGTGCTCTGCATGGCATGTTGCAACACGTTGGAGTAAAGGCGCGCGTCTGGAGGGAGTTCCTGGCAGCGCCCGGGGTGCACTGGGACTGGGGACGCCAGCCATTTCCAGCCAGGATCAAACTGAGTAAAAGTATACTGCGAAAAGCCATAAGCCAGTTCTATGCAGGCTGTTAGTACACAAAGCCAGCCCAGTAAAGTCTATGTCAGGATGTCTGGCGGCCACCTCTCCTATACCCACTGGTGCAGGAACTTACCACTCCAAGTTCCAAGCTCGGATTTTCTGGCGAGGATGAACTCGATCGACTTCTAGCAACTGAAATGGATGGGGGATGATGGGGGTGTGAAGGTTTTTCATGAGACCTCACCAGTTTGGCCCTCCGGACCCCACTTCCATGCTCCAACCATGTATGCTCCACACTCTCTTCCGACACCAACACCAGTCCCGGTGCCAGTCCCCTTCGCCGGAGAACCGACGTGCCGACGTCCTGGCTTCGCATGAGCTGAAGGAGGTGAAGGCACTGGTGCCAGCGTCCGGCTCTCACAAAGGCGCTTAGCAGGGAGGCATAGGTGTAGAGATCCTCAGATGAGGTGAAGTGAATCAACAAAGTGAAGATGAGATGTTGTTTTTTACACCCAAAACGTCCCCCCCAGGTGACCATGAACAGACGAAAAAAATTGGGATGATGATGTCCACTCACCAATTAACTAACTGACTTGTTCAACCTCAAAGGTCGACTGAACTTTTGGGCCAAATCGGCTTGATCCGCTGCGCCGCTGCAGACGGATCAGTGTCCCTGGCTTCGCCGTGACAACATGGGGAGATGCAATAGCCACATAGTACCCATTGGTTGGGGCACGTCCAAAGACTTTGAGACCAAACTATTCCGGAAGAAAAACATTGTTGGAACAAAAAACGTTTGTGTGATTCCTGATGCCCATGAAGGTCGTCGACTTTCAATGATGTTGCAGTTCTTCAAGAGGATTGTCGACAAATAGTGGTGCCTGAAGGCCAACCAATCAAGAAAAGCAAATAGAAGAACCTGACAAAAATAACCCAAACTTAATCATGTATCAATAACAATATACAGTAATGCTTTACTAATCTTTACTACGTGCTTTGCTTTGACCGTAGTGCCGTAGTCCTGTTTTTTTTTTCAGGGTTGACCAGCTCTTGACCCAAAATGATCCAAAATGGGCCTTCGTCGATCTTCGTCCCATTTGCACTCGAAGCCTCAGGTTTCAGGTCTCGCATGAGCATGTTCTCCTCAGTTCGAGCATCAAACAGTGATTTCGCGACGGAAGTGATCGGAGCGACGGGACAAGGACTGGAAGTAAATGAAAGGACCAAAGACTAGGAGCAAGGACGCTACTACTAGTAGTAGCTCCTGGCCTTGCTACTAGTAATAAGAAGCAACTAGTAACAAAGGGCATCGCTTACTGGGAGCAAGGACGCTACCAGTAGCGCCAAAGAAGCCAGCTTGAGCTCGACAGACTCGTACATCTCACGCGTCGAACGAGATCCAACCCCCTAGGCAAAGTAGCCCTTGTAAAGGGGTGATAAACATTGATAAACCATCAAGATCAATGTTCCCAACACATTCTGTTTGTCATGATTGGGTCGGGTCATCCAATGACAGTTTCCCATCAAATAACATCTCAGGAAGCATGTATGGAAATCGTGTCACAGCGTGCTATGGGATTCTCTCGGTGCTTTCGATGACGATCACAACGATGATGATTGGTCTGGCGACCCCACACTCACACCTCTCTGAACTGAAACGAAAACGCACCTTTACTGGTCGACCTGGAAATTGCAGCGGTGAGATCTTATGAGTCTAATGTAGAATAGATTAATATGGTAATAGTAATTACTAGCTAGCATTTACCTTCCACTTCCATATAGGCCGTGAAAGGAAGGACTTCTTCATGCCAGGATATGAAACTGCCCGCGTGGTGCACTGGCTCCCACCGCAGAGAAGGACCGGAGGACGGACCGGATGAACGCCGCGGTGTCGTTCGGAAAGGAGTCCCGTTTCCCATGTGTTTGATACCCTCACAGCCAGGCATGGCAAATCGAAATGGAACCCTGGAGATATGCAACAGTCTTTACTAGCATTTACTAAGATGGGTAGGCATACCCTTTCTTCTGCACAGGCGACGATCAGGTGTTTAGAGCCGTGTGGTTCGTGGCCATGAGCAAATCAGGTGTTCAAACAAAACAACCCCAAACACTCCAATGGGACTGGAATATGTTATAGTATATAGTAATATATATATATATGTGTATATGCGTACGCTGCCTACATTGACACACCAAGACACCCGAGACCAATCCAATACATGCATGGAGTGCTTGGGAAGATTTAAAAAAAGGGTTCCCAAAGGACAACCTCTACCTTCAAAACTCAGTACATGACCTTGAACAACAGGTACTTGCACGCAATCTTCAAAGGTCAATACAATTAGGAGGCAAATCGCTGATTGACTGAATAAACAGCGTGTCTTTAGTGCACTTCTTGGACTGGGATTGCATGTTATACCAAGATTCCAGCACGACCAGGCACACAGCCCAGTCTGAGGATGCCAGTACCATGTTGTAGGTCATTGTGACGGGCTGATCTGCAAGAGGCAAGGGTGAATCAGGGGTTGAAAGAAAGCAAACGATAGGCTATGGCCATGGCTGCTACCACCCGAAAGAGATAATATTGCCATTGCGTACATTTTTGCTTACATGTATACAATTTGCCCTTTTGGCACCCACCCAAACCAACTTTTTGAATGCGTTTGGGATTACGATTTACCGTGCTTTTGGTGGCTCCAGTGTCCATCACCTGATTAAACCGCAACCCGAAGGACATGACGATTTATTTTGACATAAGTTCCATGGTGGTGATCAACCGTGTTGGAAAAACGTTAATTCTCCACTGGAAATCTCTACTATATCCCCGCACAAAAAACAACTATATACACTCCCTGAAACAATCATGGAAGTGGACAATGGCCCCTTGGATGACCATGTTAGTGACTTGGGGTGTATACATTTACCCCTCAACCGGGTGACTTGAGGGAACTGATTTGTCAGAGCCAGAAAGGCAATGAAACATCCTACCTGTTTACCGGTAGGTTCTTTTGATCCCAGAAATAGGTGATGGACGTCCACATACCTCCAGTTCACCCCGTGCCTAAGGTCCAAAGCAAGTGCAGTGCAGCGTGCCAGGCGGCTGCCAAACGAAGTGAATATAGAACGGCATGGCAGGTGTCCAACGAGCAAAGAGGTACTCCTCCAAAAACGAAGCAGGCGGTGGTACGGGCAGGCCAAATGATCGTTCTCCCCAAACAACTATACGTTTCGCCCTCCAAACAATTCGAACGAGTGATTCTTGAAGTGTACCTTTACCTCAGTCATGCAGTCATGGATGTTGAGAATGTTTTTGGCTTAAAGCATGGTTAGTCGTGGGTAAACAGAATGTCAAGGTCAGGAGTCAGGGTCCAGCTGCGATGCCCCCCAATTATGATGTTGACCCCTGCCCTGCCGTGACCTCCAAGGAGCTCTAGGATCTCCAGCCCGGAGCGCCACGGGAGCGAGAGCAGGGCGGAGTGGTAGCTCACCAGACTGCCTTGTTTCTTTTGGAGCACGAATTCAACATGATTCAGCACTAGGTACAAGGAGTAGCTCGCCTATGGATTCTGGATTTAAAGACAGCACTGCTTCCGATGCCAACCACATGTGATTGGATACCAAACAGGCCTGGTCAATGTAAAATGTGGTTACCGCCAGGGCATGAATCATGAATGACAATTTTTGTGTGTTTCTCACCATGACTTGTATGAAGTGCCTCCTGACAATAATAGTATGTTGCAACACGACCTCTCTGTCCTATTTCGATGAGAACCGTGTAGGAAACACCCGTCTGCCTTCCTCAGATATGAAGTGGGAAACACCACCGCCCACCCCACACTATATACTATCTGGGAAGATGTTTCAAATTTAGCCGGCGTCTGTCTTGCCCATCGAACCTGGAGGATGAAGAAAGGGCTGCGATGTACACCATGTAAGGCTCACTGATAGTGCCACCTCTTTGTCTTGTTCTGGGAGGACACGTATTCGACCCACGGTGCACCCGGCCTTGCATTTGATCTATGGGAAGCTGATGAAGCAGTGTGCAAGCCCGCTGCCACCTGAAAGGCAGCTCAGCATTGACCGCCGAATGGTCTTTGGTCTATGGAGGGAACGCACCAGATTCAAAACATGGGACCCCTGTGCTCTATTGGGGTGGCATCTGAACCGCAGGATACCGTAGGCCTGCACAAAAAGAACACTCACTTGGGGTGGATTCCGGGATGACCACAGTAATCTGTATATGACAAAAAGAAACACTTTCCTGGAGGCAGAAAGGTTGCACATTAATCAACTAATGCTCAGTCTCTTAGCTTCCCAACATTGATTGAACAAAAGCTAAACTTTGAGGTGCGTTTCAACTTTCCATAACAGAGTCCGGTTTCAGGAGGACATACAGTAAATAAATGTTCAATCATTGGGAGTTTGGAGGAATACTCTGCGGTCAACAAATGGCTGGATGGCTCTGAATGGGGTTGAAAGCCATGAGGACTGTAACAAGGGAGTCGCAGGAGGTGTGGGATCAATCCAACGAGGTTCGGGTGCGAGAGGATTGAATCCATGGCCTCATGATGCCTCATGCAACAAAAGTCCTATATGATGGCTCCACCTTCCGAATTGGCTTCACCTTCTGCATTCTCTATCTGATTGATCAATGAATCTATCTGAATCCCCCACGGATTCCACCCCCATGTCCTCAAGTGTCCTCCGTCCTGGACAGGATTCGTCCCTCCGCCTCAGCTCCCTACTGCAGGCGTTGATGGCCACGTTGCGCTCCCGGAGCTCTTCCTCAGATCCGCTGCGGCCGCTTTTGAGGTGCTGCAGGCATGAAGACCAGTGGCAGGCCTGGAGGAGGATTCGTGGAGGCTCACCAGGTTGATGGAATTGTTTATTTGTTGGCCTGGAGGTCAGGAGTTCACCATGTTGTGTTGACACCAGCAGTTTGGAAGGCAGTATGTATAGCTAGTCTTGCTCAGTCCGAAACTCTGATAGCGAATCAATGCTTGCAAAAGACGTTGAGTGTGATCCCAATATAGATCTTTCTAGATACCACACTATACTCGCTACAGTGAAGGCTTTGTCCACGCTTCAAGTGCTTGTTACAGATGTGTCATTGTTCATGAGGCCTTTCTTTTAGGTCGCTAAGTCGCATAGGTCAAGACCCAAGGAGAGCACTCGAGGGACCGACACATCACTGTGATTTCCTGGGCCAGGTCAGGGGCTCTTGCTGCTGTTGCCGTTGTCGCTATTCTTGCTCTTGTTTTGTCATAGTCAGTGGTGGTGGTGGTGGTGGTGGTGGTGGTGGTGGTGGTGGTGGTGGTAGTGGTGGTGGTGGTGGCTGTTCTTTTTGTCTTGCTCTCCTTCTCGCTGGTGCATTGTGCTGGAGAAATTGTTGACGCCTTGTCGAGTGCGCAAAGGAGAAATAGATCTGCTTCTTCATCATCAAAGCCAAGACGACCTTGGCAGCTCAGGATGCTCGTTCGCCCAGGTTTTTTTTCTAGAGAAGCGGAACTCATGCGAACTCCGTTTTTGACCCATACAGTGAGATATTGATACACCTTCCCGGAGAAAAACACACAAACTCATAATTAAACACCTGAAGAACATGTTTGTGGAGGAGGCCCATGTTTCCGTCTGGCGAGAGCCCACACCTTTTGATACATTGCACCGCCAAAACCCGATTTTCAAAAGGAGATGGAACATTGATGAACATTGAACTTCAAAACGTGCCTTCCTCCCAGAGATGGCGTCTTGGTTTGAAACAGTTCCAGTTCCAGCCAGTCAAGCGCACTCACTGGGGGGGTTCATCTGGTTGAGTTGACACCCACGTTGCAAACATTTGCCAGTAAGCGCCCACGAAGGCGTCAAACAACATTGAAACACTAATTGATCCATCATCGCTTTTGCTTGAGATTCCTGGATTCTTGAGCAAAAGTCTCACAACATTCTATCAAACAAAGTTCCAGTATATACATAAAGAGTTGCATCAATGGAAACCGAGTCTTCTTGTTAAGACGTACACTGACCTGGCTTCCCCAAGAACTCGCAGCAAGCAACGAGAGGCATCAAAGAAGACCACAGCCTGATGCCAATGAGACCTCACTCGGAAGGTCACTCTGCTCGACACTTGACCTGGAGTGCTGACCAAGCTGGGCGGCAATACAGAAAGAATACAGACTAATTATTAGCTTCCTAAACCGGGATCCACTGCCTACAGTGACTTAGTTTGCTTCGTTGATTCACAGTGGTTCAGAAGGACCCATGAAGGCCCTGCTATTGCAGAAGCCCACTGCGATCTTGAGGAGTGCCATACAATTACAATGACATATTGAATGCCAATTACTTGATCCCTATAACCACCCCACCTGTAGGATCCTGTATGTACATCTTCCAGTCCTGATCTCCCAAAACTCGACGATGCCAAAAACACATGGCGTTCGTTGGAAGGGACTCCAGCTGACCGGCATTCATGGCAGCTGCGAAGGCAATCCTGAGAAGGACCCGGGGATCCGAGCAATGGACGATCTGAACCGGCCGATGCGACGTGCCGTTTTTTTTGCGGCAACAAATCTTGTTGTTGCGGGAAGATGTTCGGTAGATCATTGATATATGTAGATTCAATGTAAATCTGTATATATATAGATATCTGTGTTTGTTGTTCACTCAGCAATATCAAATCTGGACATCCATACTGCCAAACTGTAATCATGTATACCAATATCAACATTGGAGATGGTAAAATGCATGTGAGTGGACAAAGAAGTGCCATGAAAGTTTGGGCGAATCTCAGGTTCTGCATTGGAACGATATATGTATATCATAATTATACAGATTTTAATACAAATTAATTACTATTGTTATTTATATTGCTATTGTTGTGTTTAGTATTATATATATAACTTAATTATATAATATATATGTTGGATAGCCAGTGGGGGTATCGGCGGATTTTCTCAGTCAAGCGAAGCCTCTTGTTCCTGGGCAACATGGCCCCTTCCACATGACTGATGTTTCTCCGCAAACAGGTGGTTTCATTGCGGTTCCATGATGATTTCAGGGAGTGTCACCCTCACCTTGTTGCCACAAGTCAAAAGTCACCCTTCGTCTCATTCGCATTCAGTCGCTGATTTTTTTGCGCTGCGCGCCCTCCAAGCGCTGAGCATCTGAGCGCCCTCCAAGCGCTGCGCAACCGAGCGCTCCAGCTGCGAGGTGATGCGCTGCGCATCGAGCTGCTGGAAAGCCATGGCCACGGCACTTAAGGCCTCAGCGGGGAAGAAGAACACAGCACCAGGACCCTCCCAAGCATTTGCTGTTTCTGTTTCTTTTTCCTGGCCATCAAAACAGGTCAGAAACACATTGATTGTTTTGAACAAGACACATCCCTAACAGGCCCCAGCAAAGCCTGAAAAATAGAAAGGCACAGCGGTGCCGTATGCCGAATTAAAATAAATGGATGTCACTATGGCTATGGGTTTGCGACTGGGTTTGCGCTCTTCATCTCTTCATGCGCGCTGCCTCCGGCCACCCGCCCTCGGCAGGCCCTCGAGCTACAGCCAGTTCACCGGGGTAGAAGGGATCCCTTCTACTAGATGAAGAATTGGTTGAATCAGAAATAGAAAAAATAGAACAGTCCTACTACAATTGGTAGAAAGTTCCTTCCAATTCTTTAGTATGCTAGATGATGATAGATGGTTGTAATCACTTCTAATCCCCACAACTATCAAACATCCGTTTGGGGTTTTGGGCACGTACTCACATGAACACCTGCAACCTGGTGGCCAATAGGTTGGTAGAAGCTGTTGTTACACAAGTCGACTTAGTGGATTTGCTCCCAAGCACCTCTGGCCAGCCATGAAAACCAAGTACAATCCTATATGTGTCACCGCTCTTGATCAATAAACTCCCACATGAAAAGGTGTTTCGATCCGCAAATGAAGAAGTAACCGCCTCTCTCAATCCTGTGTACATGCGTGGACCTTTGCAATCAACGAGCCCGTTTGCATAATTATCACAAATTCTTGATTTCCGCCGCAGCGAACCATCGTTTTTCACTCACCGAAGACTAGGAAAATACATTTTCACTTAACCCTCTCATGTCTACAGACAATGCACTTGTTCTTAGCATCGACTGGGAAAAACGCGACCAGGTCTATCAACCACAAAATAACTGGCCAACTGCGTTTATTGATGCCTTACTGGAATGGGTGATTTTGCTGCGGTGGCCTCATGGCGAGCCTGTTTGTCCTGAAAACGACATCCCTTGGTGTGAATTGTATATCGACTTCATTGCACACGCACATGCACTAGCCCCAACACTCATTCCTGGGACTAAGAAGTGTGGGGTCGCTGCTAGGTACGCTTCAAAACACAATCCGCTTGTGTATCATGTCTCTCCCACCTTGGGACGGGAAATTTAGCACCTTCACAATTTGTTTCAAAATGCTTGTTCGCAAAGGGGTCATTGCCATGCCTTTCGCATATTGTACCAAGGCTTTGTCAGCACACAGATTACTGTAGGTTTTTCTGCAGTGAAACCAGCCAGGCATTGCGTCCCGGCCTTCACTTGTAGGTTGCCTCAATGCTGCACGCTGGTTTCAGAACACGCTGACCTTCACAAAGAAAACACGGAACGATTTGTCCTTTACGTTGACGACACCACCGCTTTGTCAAATTCGTAATTAAGCACCTTGATGTACTTGAATCCGCAACCATCTTTGCTTTCGTTCGGCCACACCCTTAGTTTCTTGCCTTCGTGCCTTCCGAACATTCGTGTTTTCTCGCTGTAAATTGTTCCTGCATTGGGACCAACCAAGTTGTGCCTCGGTGTCAGATCATTGCAAAGAGGAAAGAAAGGAAGAAATAAAGAAGTCGTTTTGAGTAGGTTGCTGAGTCATAAGATTTCAATCCTGATCCCTTGCTGTCTGGGACGAAGTGGTCACAACACTAGAATCATACCCAAGCCAAAGTAGTTGAACACACTGTTTAACAAACGGATTGTGATACCTCTGTATTTCTGGTGGTAGTAGGAATCCTACGTAGCAGTTCCTAAACGTTGCTGCCGAAAACCGTGGGTCCTCTGAACGCGACGGGCAATCAGGGGGCCTGGAGGACCGAATTTCAAAGGAATCTTTGTGTCCTCATTCCTTTGAGACCAACTCAAGACTCAAGACTGAGCAGGAATCGTGAGCTCGAAAGTGCAAGAAAAAGGTAAAAGAAACCAACAAACACACACACACACACTTCGATAATTAGGACCTTGATGCATGCGTCTTTCTGGAAAGGCATGCCTCTTCCGACGCGGATCACCGAGTTCGACCGAAGACGCGGGATCGCATTCGCGTTCGCTCGGCGAGAGGCGAAGGTGTAGGTCATCCCGGCAGGCTTCAATCTCCTGATCGCTGAGAAATGCTTTTTGCGACTGACGCGGTGGGAATGACGCAACGCGACGCGACGGGGAATTCCGCGGGCGACCGGGGCATTGTTGGTTTCGACATGTTTTTTCATTGTTTTTCGTGGTCTTTGGGGATGGGGCATGGTTTTCAGCGTCCATGAAGGCATTTTTGGAGTTGTGTCCAATTGGCAAGTGACCTGTAAACTCCTAGCTGTAACTAGTGGGTGGAAAGCGGGAGAGTGGGAGAAGAAAGGAATTCGGTGGTTGCAAGTTGCAACAAATGATCAAAACAATGGGGAAGCTCGACGGGCACTTGGCTTGAACATTCAAACTTGGTCCAAGATCGACTCAACACTAGTTGTTGATTCAACTCAACACATTGGATATCATTCCAATATTTACAAAACAATTTTTGATTCAGCCAGAATATAGGTTATCAATATGTTTAATGTCGATTTGTTGAAACTCTTGTCACGTTTGGATGGACAAAATGATGAACAGCTGTCGTCCCATCTACTTTCTGGACCCATATTGTCTTCACAATATTCCATCCATGGACAAACTGCTAGACGACAACACTAGGAGTCTTTCTATTCAATCAATACAGGCTTGGGCAGCCGGTGCAGTGTTTATATTGTTCTTCTTTCCAAAAATCAGTGAAAAGACCTCACCTATGGATCACTATCAACAAAAGCTAGTTCATCCCTCCAAACCTCTTCCAAATTCCAGGTATGATCTGTAGGGCTTATTCCTTAAGCAGTACTGTAGGGATCCCAGCACATGCCCGGTGGATCCCGGTGGCTTGCCAGCCTGGTGTAGACCTCACTCATCCAAGGCACTGAGACTCGAGCTCGTTGAAAAGGAAGACGGCATGTCCTTGGCTGACAGGGACATCGGACGATGAACACATGCTATCCCTCCACGTCTCAAATCCTTCGAGATGGGGTTGTTTTTGGGGTCGACTTCGTTGATGTGGAAAATAAGTTGGGGAGATCATCAAAATGCTGAACATGTAATCATCCAGTCAAGGTACTGTACATCATAAGTCATGAGTGTTTAAATCCAACGGCTATTTCGACCACCATCGGAAGAGGGGGATACAGTGAGTGAAAACCATCGCAGCCAGACCTTCCTGGGAGCGACTCCCGTCTCTTTTCATAGAAACAACATGGAACAAATCAACCAGACACCCCACCACACGTGACGATCATGCTTCGAAGAAGCCCCTATTTAGCCTTATATAAATGGGCCAACACCAGGAAGAAAGAAAAGGCAACATCAGCTGTTGGAACGGACTGACTGGACCCGATTCTGGGACCCGGAGAGCAAGGATTCACCATCGATCGTTGGCAAAGACCCGGAGAGCGCCCCGGCTCCGGGCGCTTCGGGCAACAGCCAAGCCCTCGCATTCAGGTTGTGCATCGGTCATGGAGGTCACCTTCCAATCCCAAGGCTCGCCATTCTCCAGCATCCACAAAGGCGCTCATGGCGGTGGTGTAGGAGATCACATCAATCTCCTGAAAGTCCGCTGGTGGGAAGGTGTAGATTTCTGCGCGCTGGAGAATTGGACTCATGCGAAAGGTATGATCCATCCATCATGTTGGAAGTCAGACCTCGCTGGATGTACTTTTGACTATATAGCCGAAGTATGCCTAAGTGACCCCTGTGTAGCAGTACCTACCAACCACAGTCATTTCCTTGCCTTTTCTTCCCAAACAACATGTACTTATATAAGTCCAGGGTCTAGTTACAGTTTTCAGTCATCTGCAGTCCAAACACATGGACATCTGTCCTGCATCTGCTGGAAGCAGCGGAGAGCCTCCCACCTTGCGGGTCAATCATGGGGTTTCCCAAGGGTTTCCCAAGGGCTTTGGATTTGTTCCAAAACTCTCAAACGTTGGACATAGATGTTCTTAAAGCCCTACAGTATCCTACAGTGATACGAAAGGGCCGTCGATAGCTAGAGAGTGGGCCCTCGGGTGTCATCCAAGGACCATACTCATCCAGCCTTCGTATCCGAATGCATGGCCCGCGGTACTTCGTCGGAATGACCGGGGCATGACCGAGAACACGTCGGAAAACGTCGTTGCCGTTTCCCAAACTCGAGCTTGTATTGGATCTGATGACATCTACTGACTCTAAACATCCGTTCCCTAGGCATCCCATGAATTGGTGATAATTCATGCACATTCATTCAACCAGCAACAAATATCACCACACAGAGTTCCAATCAAGAATCCACATCGTGGAATGCACATCCACTCTATGCATCCCCATGCTTTCTCTTGGTCCTCTTTCATCCGACTGAAGGATAAAAACAAGCAAAGGAATCCCAAAGCAAAGCAGCAAACAATCAAGCCAACTTCTTCCCAGTGCATCCTGGCAAGTGCCACACCTTTTCAGGAGCCATCTGGCACCGCTTCATACTGTACTTGCAGCGGCAATTACATCCCCATGGGTACAAAAGCTCGAGGTAGCTGCATCCACATGCTTCAACTGAGGGTTGAAGTGTTCTACCATGGATCCACAGACCTTCTGAAGGCTTCTTTTTTCCACACGGTGGTTGAACATCCCGACCAAGACACCATTGCTCTGCAGTCTTACAAATGCTCAACTGCAAGTTCTTGGAAACCACATCCTGAGGTGGAGCGGATCTGAATAGATCTCGGTACATAGGTCTATGTAGGTCTATGTCATGTGGGTTCCCCCTCAAAAGAAAATAAGACTGGGCAACTCCCGTTTCTCGATAAGCCTTGAAAGAAGGGCGAAGGTCATGAGGTCATGCCTCGAGTTCAATTCTGGATGAAGGATGATGCAGGTCAAAGGCTCATTGCTTCTCCGATCTCAACCCAGAGGCTAAAAGGCCAGCCGAATTGTCCTTTTCAGAAGCACCAGAGAAGACCATTCGAGATGAAAGTACTTAGGAAAACCTCCGTTTGACCATCCTCACAAGCTTCCTGGACCAGCAAAAATACGAAGGACGCCTTGAACAGGAAGTGAAACACTGAAACATCACAGAACCGATTGTGGATCCAACTGACCAAAGAATCCACAAACTGACCGAATCCTTCTTTCTGAGGATCCCATGTGGATTTCGGCAGTGGATCCTTGACTTCGTGCAACAACTGTTTTCAAATGTTTTCGGACTTCAAGAGCCCTTGGGTCTTCTTAGCAGCTTCTTCAACAAAAGCACACTAGGGCCAGGGCCAAGGTACAAGATACCGTCTCACTCGGACACCGCCTCAGGTGATTTCTCGAATTTGGTGGTCCGGATCTTGGCCAATTCCACGACATCGTGCTGAGGTCAAGGACCGGACCTCGCTGCCGAGTCTCGGTCTTCAGCTGTGCCTCTTGCAGCTGGGTCAGCATCCAACTGCCCCGCTCCCACTGCTGGGACTGCTGACAGGCGCGGATGGCGCTGGTCTGTGAGAGCCTGGACGATACATCTGTCGAAGAGGACCCATCCAAACGAAGCTGAAGCGGTACCAAATTTCACCCTTGCGCTTCAATTGCTCTACATACAGCCGAAGGCACATCATGGAATCTCATGGCTCATCCGATGGGATCTTCCTACCCTTCGAATCCAGCTCCAAGATTTTGAATGACCCAAGCATCACCAAGCCCAAAAGCTGTCGAGAGAATCTCTTGATCTCTTGAGATATAGTACTTCCACTTAAGGCTAAAGAAGTGCGAGGCAAATCCTGATCAAGCAACATCTCATATATATATATAAATACATATATAACTATATAACGGTATATGTGTGTTTGTTTGTTTGTTTTGGGATATGATAAATCTAGGTTCACCCCAGAAGCAGGGTCTTTCAGAAATGGTCTCGCGGTGTCTCTTGTTCTGCCAATTCAGACACCAAATGGATTGTTTTGCGAGTTCAGGTCTGTGCTAGATGAGCGACTCAAATATCGCAGAGGGAGAAAAAAGGTCGATCAAATTCTAAAGTGCACACACCTGACCCCTGAGCTTAGCTTTGCCCAAGCACTCGATGTATGAAAGATTTGCATACATGAGGCGGACAAGGGTCGCTGTAGGCAAATACACCATGCATGGAGTGCTTGGGTGAGACATCATTGGGATATCTGATATCTTCTAGTAAATCAAACAATGCTCCTAGTAGCGATGCCCTCGATATATAATAGCGTCCTTGCTCCTGGTAGCGATGCCCTCGTTACTAGTAGCTTCTTGTTACTAGTAGTAATGCCAGGAGCTACTATATAATAGCGTCCTTGCTCCTAGTAGCGATGCCCTTGTTACTAGTATATAGCTTCTTGTTACTGGTAGTAATGCCAGGAGCTACTAATGGCGTCCTTGCTCCAAGTGGCAAATCTGCTGAAAGCTTCCCTCTTTCCATGAGCCAACAAGCAATGGGCCAGTTGGAACACTGGGCGCTGGCCTCGATGAGCTCCGCGTACATCCTCCCAATGGTGATGTGACAAATTGATACAAATGGCAATCATTGATGGCTCTCTGAGCATCCCTCGAAGGTATTGTGTTTTGAGAATCTCACGAGCAGCTGGAACATCCTACAATCACAGAAACCCAAACACGGATATGCAACCTTCAAGCTATTCAGGATGGTACAGCATGGTGCGGGTGAGCTCCTACAGTAGCATCAAGTTATATATATATATTATACAAAAAAGCCCCTGGGGGGTGGATCTGGAATTCTCTGCAAAACCAGGGGACTGTCGATTGACAGCTGTAAAGAACCAACTTGGAATCTGGTGCATGAGGAGAGAAGCCAGTTGACATAATAGTTGAATATGTGTATCTATATATATATATATACAAAACATTTCCACATTAGATCATTAGACGAAAGCAACCGCTGTGAAGCTGAGGATCTTCCACCAAACGACGTTCAAACAAAAAAGACGTCGTCTTTGAACGTCGCTCCTGTCATCCGTCGCCAGTGCGCTCAACTCCATGTCTTTCAGCACCTCCAGTGCTCGAAGCACCGATGCACCGCTCAGCACGGCCTGGATCACCTGAGCCACAGAGCGCCGTCGTGGTCGAACCCGAACGTCCGTGGTCTTCTCTCTGAGCCGACATGAGGTGAGGTTATTTGTTCAAGTGAAAGGACCGAACCAACTGGGACGTCGAAGGAGACATGATCTGACTGAGATCCTTTGGAAGAACCAGGTGACAACTTTTTTCTGGATTCATTTGAAAGAGGAGCATGAATCCAACACGCCTGCACCATCCTGTACCCACCATGTACCGTGATTTGCTCAAACGTCCAGCTTTGCTTCCCATGGTGCCAATGGTATTGCCCAGCTCGACCCGGACAGAAAGGTACCCAGCTCAGTGCCCCCTCAATCATCCTTATTTTTTGATCCAAAAGACAGCCAGTAAGCTACCTGAACCGACCTTCTACCTGTACACGGTCTTCCCCCTCAATCATGTTGTCATCCCTCGTTCCTGTCACAGCACGCCTTGTCCCTCATCCCGGGTCTCCGCGCGGTGTTCCAAGCATTCACCGTTCGCGGCTTGTTGGCTTTCTCCATCTGACGCGAAACACCCGGCGGCTTTCATTTTTACCATCAGACCAAAGAACTCCCACAACAACTGATCAAAAACACCGTGGACAAATAGATTAAGCTGATTAAACTACCCCAAATTCTCACACATCATCCACCAATCCATCAACCAATCCCCCCAAGCCTCTGCGTGGTGAAACCAGCCAATCTGTTCACACCGAAGCGGTCGACCGAAGCAACAAATTTTGGCCATCGCTACGAACGGAGCAAGGACGCTACGAACGTAGCTCCTGGCCTTATTACTAGAAGTAGGGGTGCTTGGGATGAAATCAACCGATCAAAGCGTCGAATTTTGAGAGAGATTCCAACCTGCCGGAAACGACGACGAGGTGATGACGAGGTTTTTCATTGTGACGGTCTTCAGACTCGACGAAGCATCCTATGGGTGAAGAGAAAACCCCACTGCACCCCACATGATGTGTCCCCAAACAGCACAGGTGCCTGTTGATGCACGTCATGATGCATGTGTTTGATACATGCGCGTAAACATATTTGTTTGCCTTCCCTTTTGAGGTGCTTTGTAGGGCTCTCTTCAAGACTTTCAAGGATGAGATGCTGGAACTGGTGTACAGTTGACCGACGAGTCTTGAAACTTGAAGAGGTTCCCAGGCCGCAGCCAGCCGAAAGTTTGTGGCTTCTGAAGATGGTTGGGTTCGTTCCAAACTGATGTTGTTTTTACATGTTCCTGCACCATCGACCTTCAGGGAAAAAGCCAACCGACTCCTCATTTATTCAGCATTTCCGTGCAGGTTACCTCTGGCTCCAAGCCGGCACCACTCCAAACTCATAGACATAGTCACAGTCTTGTCTTGGCATGTCTTGGCAATCAGTGTGCTTTCCCCAGCTCAACGCTGGCGTTCTTGAACTCTCCGCATAGCCGGAACAAACACTGCACCATGCTACACCGTGGCAGTCGACCGAGCGCCTCACTGAAGAGATGGAGAGCCAAAAGCCACTGTTGACCTTCTTTCGCCGCCACCAATGCCTGCACAACGAGAAGCTGCGGAGCTGCGCAAGCAAGCGAGCCGCGTGCGTTTAAAATGCCAACGCGTGGGGGGGGGGCAGTGAAGGAGGTGTAAGCGTATCTGATTTCAACCCTGAAAACAGGGAGTCATGGTGAACTCAATGAGTCTTCTTCAATTAGTTATAATTAATTGATATTAGTATATATAAGTTATGTTTTAAATTTAAATATATTCATGTTTATTTATATTAATCATTATTTAGTGTAATTGGTAATTTATATATGTTTTGTACCTTGGGACCCGCACGCTCTTGAAGCTCCCTGCAGAGGGTGAGTCGATCCCGTCAAACCTGAGCTGAGCCGCTTTGGGACTTTCACAAATCGGCCAACCCTGTTGATCCTGAGGTATGGGAGATTCTGAGAGCAATGGGTCAGAAGTGCGACCAGTCCATGGCAATCCACAAAAAGAATCCGTAAGAAAAAGGAACCCCCGGTCGATGAAGCGGCCAATCGATTTGGTTCTTTCCATCATCGTCAAAGCGAGCACTGTGTTCTTCAGCGAGACCGGGACAAGCCTCTGACTTCGTCGGAGCATGAACCCTACACCTCCAAGCACCTCCTCAGAAGGTATTTTGGACCCTCCAAACCCACCCCAAACACCTTCTCAGAAGGAACTTGGAGGTCTAGGGCAAATGCACCAAACTCGTCGTCCACTCACAGGTTCCGTCATTCCCCTAAGGATCCGTTTTCGTACCTAACCTCAGGTTCGGTACCACTGAACCCTCCCGGCACCGGCAAAGAACGCAGGTCTACCCGGACGTTGGCACCTTTTGGATGCCGGTTCCCATGCACGGATCCATACCAATAGGGTCCATGGGGGTATGTAGGCCGTATGGATCCGGCAGATCAGAACCCCCCACCGAGGCACAGGGATAAGGCCTGTGGCCACATGGAAGCCTCACTGATGCGCTGGACTCCCACGATGCCCGTCCCGGTGGCGTCAGCGTCAGTGGCTTTTTCGAAAGACGGAGGTCTTCGAATTCTGTTGGGGGGAAGCCCCTTCTGTCACTGAGATGTTTGTCCCTTGCAATATATCGAAATAGGGCCATGATCCCATGATTTTCACAGAGACACCCATCAAACGTGCGAGGTCCTACTGGTAGAGACATGTAGTATAGAGAAAAATCGTCACAGCCCCTGGCAAGGTCAATGCCAAAATTGAAGAGAATGGTGGTTATACTCTCGGTAGTTACCAACTTTTGGTGTCACTGGTTGTGCCCCACCGAATTGGCCAAAAGGCCTTGGATTCCTCTTTCTTGGGGGGTGTGAAATGAAAACACCTCCTGGTCCTTCAGTCAATACTTTTATGTCCCACTCCTCCCGGTGAGACCGGATCACGGGAGAGACTTTGGGCTTTGGATGCAGAAAGACGAAATTTTGTGAATTTCTTGAAACCTCGGTTTTTTGTAAAAACCTCGGTTTATTTCATTGACCCTGACTTTTTTGACGGTCTTCGGTTCCCTTGGTGGGTCCAAGTGGGAAATTAGGCTCAACAAAATCCTCATGACACATCCACGAGAGAAGATGAGGGGCCCTCATGAAGGGGTGTATCTGCTGCGCTGGTCTTTCTTTTTCAAAGGGGGCTCTGCTAGGCTCTGTGAAGACTTTGAAAGCTCAACGTGCACAAGTGATGGCCATGTTCACCTTGCGGGCGAAACATGTCAGAACACAGTGAAACAAGGAGTTGGTTTGCAATTGGTGTCGCATAATTAGGGTGTGTCCCCCCATCATCACCCTGGCAGGAGATGGCTTGGTCCTCAAACTGTGCATAGCCGTCACTCAAGTGGGGCATAGCCGTCACGTACCCAACAGGTAGCGGGTAGCGCATCCGTCCAGGTAGCGGTGCAACATGCTTCCATGGCCGCATTCTCCATGACGCAGGTCACCAGCGGCGCAGCGGAGAGGAGTTCACAGGCCTGGAGAGGTCACCACCGGTACCGCCACGAGAGACAAACCCGAACAGCAGCTGGATGGCAGTGATCATCAGTGATCCACACTTTAGAGCGAGTGATGGTTGGGTCGAGGAGAAGAATCGGGTCCTCCGAGTTCTCCAAAAAAATTGGTTCGTTACGAATTGGGTGCGGTCTTCGTTGTGAATTGCATAATCAAATGGCCACCGGCCTGGGCTTTTGTGGAATCAATGACTCTCCAAAAAGAGTCGCTGCCAGGGTCAGAGTTGCTGGGCATCGCCGCGACCGCATCACATGTGAAAAAAGAAACAACAGGAAACACCACGGTTAAAATACACAAACAACCTTGCAATCAAACAAGTACCCCGTTTTGTGCGGTAAACAACTTCCCCCAATCAGTCACTCACAGCACACACACAAAAACACACACATTGTGGTGACATGTTTTGACCGTGTGCACGGTGGCCGTTTCAGCTCTCATACAGTGATCCGCAGCACACAACTACCAAACAAAACGAGGACCCATGGGAAATGTGAAGTTCTGAAGGTCATCTGAAAAAGGTCAGGATCTCTCTGAACCCTCTTGGTCAAAGGATCTTGGACCATGCGGCGAGAAAACGGAATTCTCCCTGCAACCAAGCACCACTGGTCTGTCATAGAGACTTTTGCAGGATACACGTATGGATAACGTACAGTTGCGCGGCCCAACTATACAAAGATGATTGTTCAGAAAATCCAGACCTGCAGGTTTGAGTCATGCTAGAGATCCATTTTGTCGGGTGCACACAGTGTACCGGGGGGTGTACACTGTGTGTACTTATAACTTTGAGCCATGTGACCACCAAGTGTCAAATCTCTGGTCCACCCAGCATCGCCACCGCGTGTTGCATCACCAAAATCGCCCGACCGCATCGCCTGCTGCCACTCCGAGGACTCACCACAGGCGTGGATCGTGGCGCTGTAGCTGAAGCTGTCCGCGCGGACGCGGAGCTCCTGGAGAAAACGGCCGGGACACAGAAGAATCCAATTAAGGATCCACGAACAGCGAAAGAACACAACACGTATTACATATTACTATTATAACATATATTACTATTCAATAATATCAGCTCAGAAACATCCCAGTCCATTCTTTTCCAGAGTCTCTTTTTAAAGAATCTTTGATCATGAATCATGCATAGAGTTATAGTGGGTGAACCCATCTGGGTTTTGGAGGCGAGGCAGGTCCAGCATGGTCCAACGGCTCGGTGTGACCGCGAACCGGAGCGACGTCGCGTACGGTACGTCACGACGGCGCGGCGCAGCGTGGGGGACCACCGCTTTGGATTCATCGCAGAGTGATATGCATAGCCTAGCATGCTGACAGAGGTTTTGGTGACAGGAGGCACTCTTGAAATGTTTGCTTGAACTTTAAAGCTTCCCACAGTCCTACAACCCTCAGACAAACTCTTGGCCCAGTTGAAGCCTAGCTTGACATCCAAACACAAGCTTGACTCACTTGCTGAAGACCTCCAGGACGTTTGATGTTGCTCGGTCCACCAGTTTCTACCCTGTTTCACTGGTCCAGTTTCATCCACCTTGTGCCTCGGAATCGTTGAAACACGGCGAGTGTTGAAGACCTTTCGTTTCCACATAGTCACATAGTCGGTTGTTTAAGCTGTCACGGTCTATATATACATGTATATATATATATATGCATGCTAGGTGGCCCACTGTCTCTTCCAGCAACAATAATGTTTGGACATGTCCAAGCATCAAAAGATAGACGCAATGTTTTGCTTCATCCCCCGAAAACAACTTCTTGCAAACCCTCCACACTCGACACCTGGCCTAGGCGACACCTCGGCGCCTGGTCTCTCTCTCTCTCTCTCTCTGGGCACCCACAGCGGAACAGACAGCTCACCCCAAAGGACCTGCATCTGCTCTAGAAGGAAGAGCGCGTCCATCCACTGCTGCGCAAGGCCAAAACCATTCAGCAAGGAGTTGTAGCCTTGGCAGTCCAGCAACTAGGAGAACAAATCACACATATTCTCCAGAAAAGGATTTATATTTCCGTAGACATCCATGGGGAAAATCCGGGAAAAAAGACATCACTCCAAGCAAAACCAGGTGGCTGATGAGATCGGGTGCCATCCGGCGACGTCCAAGGCCTTCCTGAGAAGCCGACCAAGACAAGGGCAGCAACGAAGGAAGGGGCTGAGATGGGTTTTCTCCCTGGAAGATGCAGTCCGACCTCCAAGGCGTTTACCCCACCAGGTCCATGGGACTGTACATTGGGGTGGTTTGTACATGGGGTCCATGTATTAAACATTCCATACATGAAGTGTCTGGGTTATGAATGAGTTTGCAATGTTTATGCCTGGGTGATGTAGTGCTTGTATATGCTTATATGATCTTCTATGTGACACTGGCTGTACATCCGATTTGGAGGGTCCTGGAGCTGGTTCAGTTCTTTGGAAGTAGATCAAAACAATGCCAACCAACTCAGCCAATTCAGGATCTTGAGTCGTTTGTTGGCCATTCATAAGATGAACAAATCACCCGCATAAGTTGGAATTCCTGTGTAACCCCTCACTTCTTGTAGCACATCTCAAGTGACGAAATCACCAGTCTCAGCTGACTTTGAGTTCCCAAATCACCAGCCCAACTTGGCCCAATGGCAAAGACAAACTCCACGGCCATCTGCCACTGCCTGGCTTTTCCAAAGGAACCTTAGTCGGTGAACACCAGTAATGCATCTTGGAATGGACGTTATATAACATACCTAGAACCTGATTGACCCCTGTTTGGGAGCCAAAACATGATCTTTTCCTATCAACACAGAGGTCCAGTCTGGGTTCTAGGTATGTATGTATATATATATCGTATTCATCACTGACCTCGATATCTATCCAACAAGCCCATGCTCTTGGTGGAACGAAGACAGCTGTGGAGGAAAAGCCACAGACCGCCAAGGTAAGGAACCGATCGCCAGGTGAGCTGGCAATGAGCGATAGTGGGAGTGAACTGGACAGTTCCACCCAATCCCACGGAAAGGTCTATATACCTTGGGTCCTGGATGGTTGTGTCCAGAATTCCTTGGCTCTACCTGGCAAAAGCCACCTCACCCGATCCGCAACAGGATTGCCTCATGTGCATGGTTGCCTCATGCTTCGAATGCAGAAGATCCTCGACTTTTCCAGCAGGTTCCACAGGTCCGTCTTGGTCATCCACTCAACGGCGACGAGGATGGCTACTCCAGTGGATGGCGAATCGTGGATGGCATGGCCATGTCATCCACCCCCTTGAAAGGACGATCCTGTCCACCAACATGTGATGTTCAAGATGTTTCCCCTTCCATGTGATGTGTTCCTCGGAGTTGGTGTTGTCCACCAACACCTTGCGACGACTCGCCACCTCGCGACGACTTGTGAGATGCTCTGTAATGCGCCACGAACGGCGGAGTGGTTTCGGTACCCAAACACTATTGACCCTCAAATCATTCCAATGTCTAGATACTATGTATAGGCATAAATAGGCATAGGTACAAAATGCCAGTCCCGGTTGGGGTAGGAACACGGGTGACCACCTCTACATCCCGGTCGACTACACCAAGAATCACGTGGTCACGTTGATGTTTTGAATGCACATGGGCGGTGTTCTGCCTCACCAAGGAACTGATCGCAGTGTTGTAGGTAATGAGGTTTAGCTGCATTTGACTCTCCTGATTTCGACTGCGTGGCCATCCATGGCCTTTGTGACAGAGAGGGTTCAATTCAGATTCAAACCCGATTCATGCAACAAAACAACGTGAGGCAAAGACATGTTGCCATGTTGACTGGCAATGCCTACACGTTCTGCTTCCGCTCGAGTCTCTTTTTCACTCCAGCCTCTTTGACATGTTTCTTTGGGACACACACAGCTTTACATGCGCAAATACCAAAAGCCTGCGCCAGGTTTCCGTGGTTTCCGGTGGTTCTGTTTGCCATGTTTCCGTGGTTCTGACTCGCTTCGGACTCATTGGTTCGGAAACGGTCCTCGCCCGCGCACAACAGGGCCAGCGTCATCTCCCATTCTTTGCACCTGGGCTCCGAAATCGAACGATGGACACCGACCTCGGACCTCGTTCCAAACCAGCATATGACAGCCGAGAGGTGGCGGGTTCGAAAGTTGGGTCAATGGAGGTGAATATGCCAGTTACATGGCCCGAGACCTCAAGTACCTTCTGAGAAGGTGTTTGGGGTGGGTTTGGAGGGTCCAAACTCCTTCTGAGGAGGTGCTTGGAGGTGTTACGGACATACCTGTCTGAGGCTGACAGGCCCCCTGACATATGAGTTCCTATTCTGGGTTTAGCGGCGCGCACATGTTTTCCCACCACTATCCCACTCTTCAATGTCCCGACGGCTTCAACGCAGCCCGTGATGTGCTAAAGCTTCGAGGGATATATTATATATATATATGGTGGGACGCATCAGCAAAGAATGCTCCAACGCCCATTTAAAAACAATAAACAAAAAACTATCCTATAAGTTATTGTGGATTTGCATCAAGCCAAGCAAAGTCTTGGATGTGTGCTGAGAACATGGTGGAGGAACCTGTTTACTTATCTTAAGCTTATCTTATCTTTATATTGGAAGGAACCGGGCCCATTAGGGAGGCTATATGAGAGTTGGACCAAGGTTCCCAAGCCAAATCCGAAAAAGGCTCCACCGAGATCCACGGTGAAATCCACGACATGACTTCCACCGAGATCGTTGGAAGAAGGACTTCCGTGGCGATGGTGCCAACAGTGCTCACCCTTGCAAAGCCCATGCGAAACCTCTACAGAATGCTAACCACACTGCAAAGAAACTGGAATGACCGCAGTTCCTTGCAAGGGCCTCTTAAAACAACTACTTAGAAACCTGACGCATCGGCCACCTTGTTGCCTGTTCCAATTCGAGACATGGACTTCCACGCCTTTCACACACGGTCAAGGTGGAGGAGAGTGAGACCACGTCCATTTCCAGGCGCCGGGCGTCCTGGGAGAGTTCTCCGGTGCCGAAAAGGATCACTTTTCATGGAAGCTCCAAGTAGGAACACGTGCAGTGATCGGTCGGAATCAGCACATAAACTAGGTCAGCGTTAAGCTACTTTAGTTTCTTCACACAACGCATGTAGAACACATCTAAAACAGCAACAGGGTGATATGCCTTTTGCTTTTGCGGTTGTTTGGGAACCTCCCAATTTTGGAAAGGGGCATCATCTATACTTGAAGGGATAGGTTCACCACATCTCTTGTCTTCTGAAAACACTGGACAGCTGATCAACGTAACGGAAAAATTGGAGCCAACAAAAAGAACACCATTGGATTCTACGCAGCTTGGCACTGCTTGAGACTTACAATATCTCCTTGGGAGAGCATATTACCATATACACTCATCAGAACTTACGAGGAAGTAAATCTAGGCGAGGACGCTGTTTACGAGGAAGTTGGTGACCATGTAAATCCCCCCGGGAACAGACCACAAACAGGTGCCCAATCAGCAAACGAGGAAGGCTAGAAAATGCAATTCTCACTACCGAGGAAGCCAAGCGCCCCTGCATTCCCGGGGATCGCTGGAAAATGACCAGGGAGATACACTTCAGGTAAGCCAGGGTTGCTTTACATTTTCATAGGTTGGGAGCTAACAAGGAAGAATAACAGCAAAATTACCACTTCTTGGTTAAGCTGCAAAGTGACTTCTTGGTAAACCAAATGGCTGGGTGTCTAGATTTACTTCCTCATAAGTTCTGGGGAGTGCACACATGCCATCGATCATGTGCAAGGTGAATTCACAGATACCTGCTTTCATTAGAATACACAAATGCAAATCTAACGAGGAATTTAAAGAACCTCTCTCTCTTGATCCTGTTTAACGAGGAAGTTTACCAAATTATCACAAAAACTGGTAGGCTTCTTTGTTTGCTAGATGCTTATGGACATTCTAGTTTTTGCACTGACAAACGAGGAAGTCGAGCAAGTCTAGCAAGTTTAGCATGTCAAACTTACGAGGAAGAAGTCTTACCCAACACAAAAATAAAAACATGCAGACCCTCCAGTAAAATGCTAAACGAGGAATATTATAGGAAAACTACTAGTCCTCCACGAGATCGGTTGCCCCGAGAAAGGACACAAGATTCCGATCCCATTCGAACTCTGGTGATGGAAGGAACGCCTGGAGTCCCCTTGGCCAAAGTCCGGAGCCCAAACATGCAGCCGAGTTCCTAAAGAGAAGGATCCCGCATGATCCCACACGATCCCACAGCGAATCCCACAAATCACGTATCACTGTATCACTACAAAATCACAGTTCAGAAGAATCATCCAATGGCAATCTTCATATATATTTTCATACATGTCCCGCCGTATTCTGGTAAACCAAATCTGAACAAATGCACGATAATAGTAGCTGGTTTCTTCTGACAGAACAACACATTGATAGACCTTAAACATTCGGACACGGCCTCGCGCCCCCGCATGGAGCCTTCAACTCTGATATGGATCCGTCTCACGGCAGGGTGACAACGCCTCAACCACACCAAGTTGCTGCAGTGTGAACAAGGTGAACCATGGTGAACCGACGAACGGCACTTCTGAAGGGGTGTTCCCTCCCGGTGGTTCCCTCGTGTCACCAGGAATTGCTTGCCCCAGCGTCCAAGGATCCCAAAAGCAGGAGGGCCTCCTGCCAGGAATTGGAGGCCTGGACTTTGCAGCTTGGACATTCCCATTCGCAAGAGTAAACATGATGCTTTCGAACTGCAGAAAGCCATGAGAAAACACGAGAATACTCAGCAGTTCTGAGCTCCGAACCAACAAACACCACCTGTGCCCCTCAGTGCCACCTCCACGGACAAAATCGACCCACCCGTGTTCTCCATGGACTTGGACTTCGACGTTGACACCCACCAGATGTGCCCAGAAGACTCCCGGAAACACCATGAAACTCGAGACTCACTCCCAGTGAGGCCATAATATATTATATACAAAACCTAGGGATCCAAAGACCTTCTCACGATCCCTAGGGATTTAAAGTGCAACACATATATACACACATATCATATATATATATACACTTGTATATACACATATTACATATATCATATATATATATACAGTACAGACATAACTCACCCCTGAAAGAATGGAGGGTCTTGGTGTGGTTTCTCTCATGCCCCAAGCGCCCGGTCCACTCTTGGACGCTCCATGTGTGTCACCGAACGCCCGGCCGAACGCCCGGTGAAAAGGCCGAACGCCACGGCCGCGCTCAATACAGTCCCTTTGGGGTGGTCGACAAGGGGTCAATGGGGCGGCATATCATGGCATATACACCATACATGGAGTGTCTGGGATTTTACATCACCTTACAGGTGGTTCTCTCATGTTCTCTCCGTTTCTCTCCGCTTCAGCCACCAGTAGGTCTCAACCGAAAGGAACGTCATGTTACGTGAGATGATCTTCCCCTCCGAACAGGTTGCGGTGATCTTTCTCGTCGGCCTGAAAACATCTCCAAAATCAACGGGTGGCACACGTTTTTGATCCTGGTCTGGCTCCTGACTGCACTGGATAAATTCCCTCCTGCACATTGATCTTCCTAGTGGCTGAAATGTTCCTCACCAACATTCTCTCGAGCAACAAAAGATACAGCTCCTTGGCCTTCCAGGCTTGGCCTAGGCAACCTGCCGGGGTCCTGCAGGCACCCTTTTGTAATATTGGTGATTTGTCTCTATCACTTGAGCGTAGCTCATGTGAGCTCCAAATCTTGACCCGGACCATCCATGGGAGTGGAATAGATACATATATATATATAGACCCCATGAAAATGGCAATGTAGGTAGTTAACTATGATGTCATTTTTCTTACGACCAGACAAGACACCGACAGTCCGGTACCATCCCACCATTGTTCAACGGGAAAACATGCAAAGACAAACGCCTCGCGATGAGTCAAGCGCCTCGCAGGCACTGATCGCACCGTTGTAGACAAACAGGTCCTTAGCACACAAGATATCCCCAACAAACAAATATTGAGGCACAAACGCCGCACATAAACCTGTTGTGGAAAGGCCTTGTAAGATTGCCGTTGAGTCCCGGAACAAGAAATGGTTTGAAGTTGGCATATGCTGCTAGCCTAACCATAAGGATTTGGTTTCACCATGTTTGACCCTGCACTGCACAAGCTTGGAACGCCCCATCTATATCACCAAATGAACAAGTATATACATGAAAGGGATAAGTAGAGAATAAATATATAGAAGATCGTCAAAGTCTTTCCCTCCCCCCAAAAAGACATGCTTGGGGTTCTCATACCTCGTTCTTCCAACAGACGACCGGTCGAAGGAGTCTCCAAAGCTTTGGGTCGTTCATTTTCCGACCTTCGACGTGGGCCCGCAAACGGATCCAGGCGGATTGGAACACGATGCCGCGGCGTGTGTGTTCGGTCGTGAAGAACCGGGCGTCGGATTGCAGGTCCTTGGCTTCGAGATCCTTCAGCAAGGCCACCACTTCCCGCCAAGCTCGCCCAGGACCTCCGGGCCCCCTCCGACTGAGTCTTCGAGGTGCGACGCTTCTTCGACGCTGCCGGCGGTGGGAGTTTGGGGACATGTGGAAGTGCTGCATTAATATGGTCGGCCACGAGTGCGGTCAAGATCAATTGTTATGCTTGCAAAGCGATCTTGAAGGTCATTAAACCAAATTTGATCATATTGGAAGGAACAAATGACCTACACCACAGGCTTTGTTGTCACCTAGTAGTACTGTTCCATACTGTCCCCACATTGAGAACAATGACCTTACAGTCCAAAGAGCGCTTTCTTGCCCGCAAATCACTCACAAAACATCAGTAAAGCCTCACCAAAACTGCAGGTTCCAAGTAGCTGGCACCAAACTGAATCATTGTATAGATATGGAGAACCACAGCAATCCACCCAGTTTGACGTGGTTTTCTCCATTGACTGCTGCAGCCACCAAACCTACAGAACAGCCCAAATCACGAACTCTCAGTGATTGGTCGTGCAAACACTCCGGGAACGGATCTCTCTACTAGGTGGCTGTGGCTATTTGTAACTAACTTGTAGATGTTATAACTTAGTTGTCGAACTTATGCATAAGTGGACTTGTAGGAGTTAAAGCCTAGGTTATAAGTAGGACTTAAGTAGGCCTGGGTTTTTTCAATCACATGTTTTTTGATTCGTTTATTTGACGCAAGAACTCTCTTTTTTCGACTCGCGAAACGTCTTCAGTGCAAACATAGGAGGAGATTCTTGTCATCATCCCAGCGCCACCACCTTGCTATGCAGTATGTGCTGTTGATCTTGGGTTTATACCAAGATCTGCAATGCAGTCTGCGCCACAGACTGCCATAAGGTAAGGAGGAAACATATTCAAATATTCTGAGTTCCAGGTGTATAGCAGTAGAGTCACCTTCCACAATGTTCTCAGTCTGGCCAGCTGACTCACCTTCCCAAAGCAACACATCTGCCACGCGCAGTCTCCTTGAGACCAAATGACATTTTGTGCTTGCTTGCTCCCGTGCTGCGGAACAAAGCAACTCAAAAAAGCCACCAGAAGCTGCGCTTGCGTTTGCTCCGCCTACATTCGCCTACATTTCGCCTACATTGTCTGTATGTTTACTTTTGTTGCGCCTACATCTAAAAAGCTTGATTTTCCAGATTCCTCGCCTACATTCCGCCTACATTCCCCCAACCCTCCGGAGCACGCACTTTTTTTGTGCCCTGGCCATGGAAAGAGGTCTGTTTGCGCAGTACAGCTACGCCGATCTATCCGATGTGGATATGGATAGCTCGGCCGCGACCCTCATCCTTTCGAAGTTCAGAAAATAATTCCACCAAGAAACGTTCAGAAAAGTTCAATCAAGTTCAGACCTCATCCACTTTGTGCAGGCACAAATGCCTTGTACCTGCTCCGTTCACAAGTGTCCTGTCGCCCCATCAAGTCTGTCCACCAAGACTTGAAGGATTTGACAGACCTGCA